CCGCTGCGTTATTTGCCTCGCCAGCTGGGAAGGATTGTCCAGCTGCCTGCTCTCCTGTCTAGATGATTTTCTTTAGTAACCTTAAAAACTAGTGAACAAGTGAATATTTGGGGGATTGGTTTGTTGGCTTTTTTAATGGACACCTGGGAAGTTGGCAATCTTTGTTCCTCTCTTGCCCATCTCCTTGAAGGCCAATTCACAGAGATTAAAGGTTTTAAAAATTGTTGTGAAGATTGTGCTTTCTGACTTGAAAATTATGTTTCAGAATGCAGAATTGAATATGGGAGCTGGAATTTCCATCTCACCTCTTTCATTTGCTGTGCTTAGAGGAAATGCAGAACTAAATTAAGTTAGTTTGCAGTTAACTGCTGGCTTTCTTTGCAGAACCGTTGGACAAAAGGCATCATTGGCTGGCTGTACGAGTTTCTGCTTGGTTTTAGTTGAAGATAATATTTATCTTTTCCACTGGTAATTGACTGAAAGACGAATTAAACCCAGTGCCTAGTATTCCCCATTCAGTTCTTGAAGACTAGTGAACATGTAGTTTTATTGCCTGTGCTGATTGAGTGGAACCATACTGACCGGTAATAATACAATGTTCTTTTATTGGCACTAAAGAGCATTTCTTTCTTTTTTTTTTCAGTAGTGTAATAAAACCTGATTTGCTGACTGTGTAATACTAAGTGCTTAAAAGTCTCTCTAGTTATTGGTCAGCTGTCTGTTTGTCAGGTCGTGTTGCTTAGTTCCATACTGTAGGTTAAATCTTGTTTTACGTTGAACCTGGAAGATGTGTTAACCTGTTTGTATGAGAGCCTTGAATTAGCCAGGAACTGTTAAAGACATGTGAAGCATGTGGTGAGTCTCAACTGCTGTGAAACTTCTAGAACTTTAATTTTAGAAGAACCTTTTTGTTTCTAACCAGGTAAGCTTATTTTGCATGCTTTACCCACTTCCAAGCTGTAGAAACAGTTGTGAAGAAAAACTCATTTCGTTGTGGAGAGCAGGCTGTTAAAAACCTTTTGAAATCATCATCATAACAAGCTGCGGTTTGTCATTCCAGCTGTACCTTGGATAAAAGCATGTAGATGATAAGCAAAGCAAGCCAAAAGCCAATCACAGGAAGATGCCTCTGCTTTATGTTACTATGCAAACACTTCGTATAGAATATTGAAAAAAACTTCAAGAAAATATTCTAATAAAGGTGAAGTTTTCAAAAATGCAACTCTTTTGGAAAGTAATTTGTCCCATCAGGGCCAAGAATTTTTAAAATGACCTGAAATGTAAAACAAAAATGGTAGTTTAAGAATTACTGTTTCCCGTTACCTGGAGACAGAGCGTGTTTTCCTTCTGCTATGGCAACGAGAACATGTGAAGTACAGTACCCCAATAACTTGGAGTTCTGCCACAAAATAGATGAAGAACTATCAGCCCAGTGTGAAGGTGCTGTCTTTCTCACTGTTTGCAGCTTTCAGGCTGAATCTTAAAATAATATTGACTGTCTCCCCATAGCTCTGACCCACACAGCAAGTGGCTTTAAGATGGATAAAAGCTGTAATACATGCCAAATAACAGTGTTGAGAGTGTTTGCTGCATTAGGGGTAGATATTGCCAGCAGCAGTAAAGGAATACTCCTGAACTTTAAAAATGCCTGGGTTCTGTTATTCAGACTTCCTGTTGAATCCTTTGATTCATTTCGTGGGTGTCTCATCTCTGACATGAATCATCTCTGATTTGCTTTGTTTTGAGATTTTTCACAATTGTTTTAGATCATTTTACAAGCTGTCATTAAGTACTCTTTTTCCTTTGGGATTATTTGGTTGTTTTTTAATCATGTTTTGAAGTTGCAGGCATGCATTTTGCGTTGGTTTGTAGCTGTTACTTCTCTTCTTGAATGAACGTGTTAGATTTGGGATGGCTGACATACATCTATAAGGATACTTCTTTCTAAGCTAGGTGTTTAAGGGGCTGATTGATGCAGAAGGATGATAATAGAGTCAGTTCCCTGTTGTCTTTGCTACTAGGTGTCTGGGAATTCCTCAGGTGACTGACAGCATGGTAAACTGGGTATGACAGCCCTTGTAGTGCCAACACAGGTTGACACCAAGTGTGCAGGGCCTGGCCTGGCAGGACTCAGTAGCTGAGCCCGCATGCCAACTCCACCACACGAACCCACAAATAAAAACAAATCCATTGAGTTGTTAACAGTTCCACCTTGTTACTGAAATGAGCTTGCTGAGTGCTGTTTTCAGAAGGCCAGCTGGATGGGCAGTTTTGCTCAAATTCATTGAGAGGGAGGTGGTTTTCTGTTGTCATACCTGCTTGCATGGTATGTGCTTTATTGTGGTGGAGGTAATTCAGAGACAAAGTCTATCCATTATTCTAGATAAATGCAAGTGTACGTGTGTAAAGATATAGAATGTATTATATGTAAGCAATAAGTAAAATATGGATGAATCACGCTTTAAAAATGCAGCTGCAAGAGAAATAAATGACATCAATTAAAAGCACACATGGTGTCTTTTGTGCCTAGAAATAAACAGCGCAGTGTTTAACCCAGTGGAATGCAGTATAACTAACATATGCATGTACTGTAATGTTAAAGAAAATACTGCTGAGGTGCAGGTTGAAGAAGAGAAACTTCAAAACTTCCTCAGGTCTGTTCTATAGCTCAGATATCTTAATTCGAAAAAAAATAAGTTTACAAGACAGTCTTTCACATAAAATGCAGAATTTTTTTCTTAAATATTTGGCTCAGTGGTATAATTTGAGGGAAGGACCAGTGTAAGCTGTGAAAGCTCAGCCTTTAAAAAGTGACCTACATCACTTTCTTAAGAGTGTAGAAGGATGAGAGTGCGATGCCTTCTCTCATTACCTCTGTGGTTACCCGTGTGCAGTGGTCTGGGACCTGGTGCGTGTGCCTCTCTCTGTGTTGCCAGCGGTCGCTTGGACCAGGGTGTCTGTCTGGCCCATATCCTTGTGTCTGACTCAATGGCCAGTGGCTCCGAGCAGTCTCACAGAGGACCGGAGCAGCTGCCTGAAGCTAAACAAACTTGTGTTCTGTGTCTGCTAGTGGGTTTTATGTGTCTGAAAGCTGTCCCTAGATGTCTCTAGTTGTTTGTTCCTCAAAAAACACTTGATTAGATCAAGTCCATTGAATTTTCATCCTCTCTGCTACCTTTTGCAGTAGGCATCAAATCTTGATATGTCAGTAGAAGGCCTTTTGTTCTAGTCCTGCTGCAGTTAATGCTGTTGTTTCCTTTCTGTTGTTTCTGTTCGTCTCTGTGTTTCATCTTTTGTTGGCAGTTGGAGTATTGTTTCTTCAGTGCAGTGCTCTTTGAGGATCCCTTGATATGTTAGAATTGATCTTTCTTAGCGCATGCAGCTGTGGCCAGCTGGTTATTTAGTTCCTGGTTTTGGCAGGAAAGAGAAGGGTCTGTACTCCAGGGTGTAAATAATGTGTATTTGCTTGGATTCAAATTGCATCATGGGAAAATCTTTCTGATATAGCTGTCAGCAAACATTTGTATTTAGTGTTACCTTTTTTGTTGTGCTGCAGAAGTCGGGCTTCCTGTATCTTTCTTACATTAACAAATTTGCATAGTCTCTTCTCTTGGCCTTCTTCCAAATATGTACAGTTTAGGAAATTGCTTAAACCTACAAGTATCTTCTTACTTATCAACATGAAGTAGGAGAAGCAAATTCATGTGCTAGCAACACTAGCGTTGCCATTTCTTGACTTTTGAATACTTTGATGTGCACTTTGTCCAAAACAGGCTTGAGATGTATATTACATGTCATGTATATTACAGGACACAAGGGTTAATGGTTACTTTTCCGTTGCTCATTTTAAAATTAACAACACCAGCTTCCTGTTTTTCTTGTCCTGAAATCCTGTCTATCTGGCCTCTTATAGTTTCTAAAATAGCCTGTCCAAAAAAGAATTCAGTAAAGCAACTGAAAAGTGACTTCTATTTAACCTTTGATTTTATAAACAATTTGTTGAGTTCTAAATAGATGAAAACAGTCTATTTTTAGGCCCTAATTTAGAGAATTGGTATTTCCACATTTGCTTTGTCATAGCTGGTAGTAGTTGCTAAATTGTGAGAGCTTCTAGCAATTACAAATGCTTGGAGGATTGCTGAGTGTTCTGCCCTAATGCATTAAAGAAGCTCCGTGCATTGTACATTTCAATTTATAATAAGGGAATCTAGCTGATAGCACAGACACTGAAATATTTCAAGTCTAGACTACTGTCTAAAAAAACCAAAGACTATTGGCTTTTCGTGGAATAAGTTGGAAAATAACCGATAAGGACAGCTGAAGTACAGCAGACTTCAAAAAAAATCACAAAGTCTCTAAGCCAGGGTGAGTTGGGAGGTTTCAGCAGCCACTTGCCAGCCCTGTTGTTGTGATGAAAAGGGAACTGGTGTTTGAAATGGCTGATCAATCTTGCAAGGTTTGAGAGGTTTCTGAAGGAGGTCACATGTAGACCCTTGTCAGGTGGGGAAGATGAGTTTCTGCAATGCTGTGTTTAGCAAGGAGAAACAAAATGGAGAAAAGGAAAAGCAAAGTTCCCCGTCTGCAGAAAATCCCAACGTTAGTGCTTTGCCAGGGACAAAAATAATGGCTGAAAATTTTAGTATGTCAGGTGTTCTTTTATATAGCCGTATTGTACCTTTGGATAATAAAAATAGCTTGCTGAAGATTTTAGAGTGGAACTACATATTGTAATAAGTGGAGGAAATTATGATGTAGCTGATACTTTTATGACCCCTTTAAGCATCCCAATGCTCCTTACAAATCACTATAAAGTCCTTCTCTTACTGCTGCTTGTGAGATAGAATATTTTGCTTGCATTTACTGTCATCATGTGTTGTTAGCCATGGAAAAAAAAGGAGGACTATTACCTCAGACTGTACTTATGGACGTGAAAAGTTCTGTAATTACTTTCAGTTTATCTCTCTAACTCTCTAATAATGCCAACTTTCTTTTTCAGAGCCATGGTGTCATGGAAAGGGATATACTTTGTACTTGCACTATTCTTGGGAAGTTTTTTCGGAAGTATATTCATGCTCGGTCCTTTTCTACCTTTGATGTTTATCTCACCAGCCTGGTATCGCTGGATCACCGATTGTGTTGTGGCTACTTGGCTCACACTCCCAGTGGTAAGTTACAATTTGAGCCAAGTTCTGGGCAACTGTTCATAAGCCCATGGTTGAATTTGCTCACTAATGCTTTTGTTTTTATTTTATGTTTTTAAAGTTTTTATGCTTTTGTCAAAACAGGCCTTAACACACTTACTACCTTTGGAGACTTAGATTTTATCTCTGTGTTGCAGATTGTGTGCCTGTCTACAGTCCCCCACTTCTTCAATAGTTTCATTTATGTGTAAGCTAATGCCATATCTTAATTGTGCTCTTGAAAAGGCCTTTTTGTGACATCTCCATCCAGTGTCAGTTAGATGCTGATCAGAGAAGAGTAGGTGAAACACTGGTAAGCAGGAGGATTTTTTTAAATGACAAACGTCCTAAATGAGTGGTCTTATAAAATCTTCCTTTCAACTGTCCTCCATCTATCTAATTAGGAAAGTTATTCATTGCCTTGTAGATTGTTGCTGATCTTCCCTGTTCTTGTACTTAATCCTCTTAGAGTTTAGTCCTTGTAGTTGAATTAGAGAGAAATGATTTCAGGTGAAAAAGAAGAACTTCCCCTAGAAATGAAGTCTTTCTCACTTATAATGCATCAATTTTATAGCTGTAGGAGTCTGGAAATCAATAACAAAGCTCTTCCCTGAATTGTTCCTGAGGAAAGGCGTTATGAATGGGATCTGTCTCTTCATCCGTTCTCTAAAAAACAAGGGACTTTGTTCCTTTAGGCCTTTAAAGATTTAACTTTTTCTGAAGGTGTGCAGAAATATGTATCTTATGGCATAAAGGAAGATTTATCTTTGTTACATATCAAATAATTTCTGCTTTCTCTGTTTCTGCCTTGCCTGTTTTGAAGGGGTGTGAGCTGTTTCACGTTCTAAAACTTTGTTCTTTTCATCATTACTAAATGTGATGAAGTTGGGAGGGAAAAAATAATACCAGTAAGGGAAATAGAGGGATTGTTATTTGTTATAATGTTGAAATTTGGCTGAGTACAGATAATGTCACAAAATTGACCCTTTCTCTGTTTGTCTCCCAGTTTTTCTAAAATTGCAAACTCCTCAAAATCAAATACTGGTCTTTTATTTGATTGGCTCCCTGGGCTTTGTAATTCTGGATTATTACAACTAGTTTGTGATAACTTTGCAGCCTAGAAGTTTGATTTCAGCCCACACTAGACCTAAATCAAAGTAATTTGAATATCTTTTGTGAATTGATTCTGTCTTGTAAGAATCTTGGGGATTCAGGTTCAGGAAAGGGATCTCAAAAAGATTGTGCACCCAGTCTTTCTGAGGCTCAGACCTTGTCTGCAGTAGTTTTCTGTCCTTACACTTATCCTGTTCTCAGTGAGGAGAAGCAGGTACTTGGGTTTTTGTCTCCAAACAGTAAACTTAATGTTGGACCAGTTGGACTCTGACAGGGAAGCTCTGACCCTGACCTCTGTTATGTATGAAACTTCCATGTTCCTCACTCCTCTGCCACATATTGTTTCCTTTCTAGCAGAGTCAGCAGGATGGGGCAGTGAGGTGGGTCTTAGCTGTGTCAGTTCAGTTTGGTTTATACTACCATTAAGGTATGTAGAACGGGACAACTGTTCATTATTATACTTAACTAGATGTTAAGTATGTAATAAAATTCTTATTAAACTATTAAAAAAAAAGGCTGTTTCTCTCTTTCCTGAAAAGAAGATAACTGTTTGCCATTTTGGGCTATACGGCCTGTTCTGCTTTTGCAGTGGTCCATAGTTACTGTTGATAGCAACACCTTTGCCACAATTATAGTGAGCAGAGTTATTGAATATTTTAATATTTGGCACATATAATGCTTTTCATTCTGAGATCTCAAGCCATTTGCGATTGTGAGAATGTTGTTCCAGTTTTATGTGGGACTTAAACTGAGTAATTTGTATTCTTTGAGATTCTGTGGCACAGAGGTGGCAGAAATATGAACAGAAAGTTGTTGTACTTCCTAGAGCTCTGTTTAAATCCCCAGACTTTGCTCTTTTTCTATATTTTTCTGGAGGAAGAATGGGGAAGAGAAGGTAAGGAGGTAATTTGAAGTGCTTCCTTTTTTTTTTTTTTTTTTAATGTTAAGACCAAATGTTAAGTTCATTCTTCTAGATGTCCAGTCATGTTTTGGTGGTTTCTTCTTCTGTGCTAGCTGGGTTGGACAGGATCCTGACAGTGGCCCTGACCCTAAGGCCTCAAGTCATACCTCTGGGTAATACCCGTTGTCTGCCTCTGTTTCTTGGGATTTTGTACCTTTCCACTGTGTTTCCACTAGTCATTAAAAGGTTGCAAGGCACTAGAATTCTTTGCCTAGTCCTGGTCTTTTGCTGTAAGCAACCAGCACTCCTCCATACACTTCCCTGCATGATTTGGGAATGGTCATGGGTCAGAAACCATTTTCAGTGGGCAACTTGGATGTGGTGTGAACCTGACCAGAGCCTGCCATTGGGCTCGGATGTTGTATCCAGCTAGTCTAGTTATACGTTTATTGTCCACCTGTTCAGGTTATGAAACCAGGTGCTCTTAAACTTACTGTATAGCTCTTGTCTTCTTTTTCCTTCTGATAAACCACCAACCTATGATTTATAACGTGACCCTTCAGAGCCATATCTAGCAGGTAAAGCCAGAAATGTTTTTTATTCACGTGTGAACTTCTAGCACTTGTGTGTGATTTCTCTCTCTGTCAGCTGCTTTTTCTGTTGTTAGGTTCTAGCCATTTTTGCCCATGGAAGTCAAGCACAAACATACTGACCATTTGGACCCAAGCAGAAAGCAAGGCAGCTGCTGATGCTTTCCCTGCCCTGACAGTATTGAACAACAGATTGCTTGTGCAGCCAGTCTCTCCTTAGATTATCTACCAATTTATAATCCATACTGATTCCCTTTTATTCTTACATTATAATATTCTGGGAAAAGTAAATTTAATGTTGGACATGGGTTGTTAAAGAGTGCTTTTTAAGAAGTGCTATTTAATTGTTGTTTCCTTTAACGTTGAACAGCTGACTGTTACTGTGCTGACAGCTGTATTAGAAAACAGTCAGAAGTTTGTTTACCAGTGACAATGTGGGTGATTAAGTGAAGTGATATAATTAAAATAATTTTTAATTGCTAAGGGGCTGATGCTTTTTCTCCTGTCAGTAAAGGCATAATATTGAGATATTATTTCTAGGCCTTGCTGGAAATGGTGTTTGGTGCCAAGGTGGTTGTCACTGGTGACGGATTTGTTCCTGGAGAAAGGAGTGTCATTATCATGAACCATCGCACACGAATGGATTGGATGTTCCTGTGGAACTGCCTCCTGCGATACAGCTACCTCAGACTTGAAAAAATCTGTCTTAAATCCAGTCTCAAAAGCATTCCGGGATTTGGTAGGTCACTAAACCCTTTAATTTGAAAGGAAATTGGTTTAAATTTTGCGCAGCACTGTTCATACTCTGTTTAATGACCTAGGTTTAGATTCTGTTTCATTATTTTGAAAGATACCTGTGTAAAATATGTGGCATATTTTAGTGATTAAACCATAAATATCCCAGAGGATGCCTGGACTACATGCTTACGCATTTCTTTTTAAAGATACTACGTGTGCTGCTGTTGCTTATAGGTAAAAATGTTTCTACTTTACATACTGAAAGCATTTTTTCAAAATTATTAAAAAAGATTTTTGAGTCTTTTCGAAGGCTCTTTCAACACTTTGTTTTTGGTGCTATTTCAACCCAAATTGCAGATGCTCTCATCAAGCTTCTTTCTTCATTATCCAGTTTATACTATTGAGAAGATTAAAAAAAAAAGCCCTGTAGGCAGTGGCAAAGTTGATGGGTCATTTTAATAACTGTACTTTAAAATTGAACCTGGTTACACAAAATATGCTGTACAGGATATGAAAAACAATTGGTATTTATAGTGGTGTAGGCTGGAAACAGATCCGAGTTGCGCATACTTAGGGAAATCATTTCAGATATGCCAAAAATTGTTGCACAAATGGTTTGTGAATAAATAGGCAGACGTATCTGAAATAAAAGCATCTCTCCGCATTTTATTTGTCTCTTGGATTTATTTGCTGTTTTATACAAAACTAGCTTGGGAGGGATGTGCGTCAACTTTGTGTTGTTGAAAGAGTAACCTTATTTATGGCTCCCTTTTGTCAGGCCATTTATCTGAACAGATAGTTTTGGCAGGATTCCATTCTGAGGATCTCTCATACTGTTGCGGTGTTATTGCATTCACTTGCTGAGTCTTTAGTCATCTTAAGTAAGAGCTGCAACTAGGTAACATACTTTTTTCCGTAACAGTCAAACATAAATGTCAATTTTACTTGACAAAAGACATCTCTTTTAATGTTACAGGAAATGAGAAAATATGTATTTAGATAAATTTTTTATCTCCATAATACATCAGAGATGTTTTGAAATCTTAGAAACAGCTGTGTATGCAACTTGTTAAAGCAATTATGAAAGATGAAATCAGGAGTATGATCTGGAAGATTCATAGGTTTCTCTCTTCAAAAGTGGCATATATTTTGTTTCTAACAAACCATCTGTATGTATGCTTGTTAATGTCTTTAATAAATTGGAAGATCAGCTCCTGGAGTTTGGCTGCCATGTTATGCCTTGCAAAATTTGGTTCCTGAAAGGGTGTTAGGAGTTGTTTAGAGGGGGTTTTTGGTTTTGCTTTTTTGTTTGTTTGTTTTTGGTTTGGGGTTTTTTTTTTGTTTGGTTTGGTTTTTTTGTTTTTTACAATTCTGCGCATGAACTGAACACATCTAATAGATTTGATGAGTAGGCTCAGATAGATGGAGCAGGTCAATGTTAGCAGACCATGATGCCTTCTTTTACCATAATTTGGCATAGTAGCTTAAGCTGCTAATGAAATTCTGGGCTTGTACCCCACTTTGTGGGCTGTGATGGTAGAGGTGGCACAGGCGGACATTTACACCTGCTGTTTGCAGTACAGGATGGCAATTTCAGGCAGTAAAGTAGAGTGGGTGCCTGGATCTGTAGTGTTATGAACTACTGTTAACATGCCAGATCCTCCACAGTATATGGGCTTTAAGTGCTTTGGTTGCAATGTTATGAATTATAGCTTATTTTTTAGTAAACTGTTATGGTGTTATTAATCACAGGAGAGGAATTCAGCTAAACTACATCTCTCACTCAAGCCATAATTTGATGGCCTAAAATTGTGAATGATCAGCTTCTGTTCCACCATAGCATATCTAAAAAGAGGCCTTAGAAGTAAATGTCACTTGGTTCAGTCCGGCTGTGGTTTGGGTGGCAGATTCTTGTAAAAATATTCTCTATAGCCATGTAATTAGGGGACAGTTGGAAGGTGAGACTCGCAGATTAAATGAAGATTGATGGAAGCAGATGAATCCGTATGAAGTTGTGTGGGGCAGTGATATAGTAGAGAATCGTGTCTAAAGAGGGCAACCCTGAATCTCATCAGTGAGAGTAGAATTTCTCCTACTTATCTCTAATGGCCCTGCTGTGTTATGTGATAGACCTTTAATAGGTGTTTGTCAGATTTTGCTTTTGTTTTTTAAATTGTGCCCTGTGGTTTTTACCTAAAAGTTTTGTTTATTTTGTGAGCTTGTAAAAGTGAGAAGGTAACTTGGAAATCAACTGGACAGTTTCAGTGCGCTGCATCTATAATTGATATTTAGATGTTGATCATTTAAGGTATAGTATTTGTGGAAATGAAACCAGGTACTTACATCATGTCTTTCAGCTTCATCTTTTAATATATTTATATGAATTAGTTGTATATAGTCAAAAGTATAGGATTATGGAAGTATTGATATATTGGCTAAATGTAGCTTATAATAAATCTTTGCCTAATGGTAGTTTTGCTTTGAGTTTCAGAAAAATTTGAATGAATATACTGTATTGTTTTCAGCACAGATCTTTCTGATCTTTCGAAGGCTTTTTTTTTAACAAGCATTTAGTATAAGATTGTGTGTAAGGTAAGATTTATAATGCAACCCTTTCATTTCCATGTTTCTGAAAACCTTGCAAGTGTTAAGTGTAGTACTTTTTTTGTCATAAGTATTTTCCATTTGGAGTGTTAAAAAAGTCTATGAGAGATTATACTCATCCAAGTGGTATATACGGTAGGTGAACGTCAAAGCTTGGAATGGAAATAGATCCAGAGTCCTTGTCACCCCCCTTGTAGGTTAAAAGTGTAAAGGTATCAGATTTAATGAGTCTGTATTACAAGTAGGCGGTTATTTTCTAGTTAATTATAATTAAAATGAGAGGAGTCAGCATTTCAAGGAGATGCCTTGAGTCATTTATCTAGTTCTTAAATTATTAATTCTTTGCATTCCAGTGTATGAAAAAACTTTAAATTGATTAAAGAGGAGCCTTAAAAAAAAGAAGCACAAAGGAAAACAGATGGTCCTTTCTTCCTGGAACTGTAGGGTTGGCTTGATAAATTGTGTGCAGTAAAGTTTTCAGAAAGAGGTATTACTTTTCAGTTATCTCAATTTCAGAAACATTCTTGCAGCATTTCAGTACAACTTGCCAAAGTTGGTGTCTCAGGGGAGCACTACTCTGTTCTTTGCTGTTCCTGCAGTTTCTCATCTGACATCATCAGAAAGTACTGACACATTCTGCAGTGTCAGTTTTCAAGGAGAATTTTTAATGGCATTGACAGTTTCCTGCGTAGTCTGACAAGATAGGACTTCTCTACGGTACTTCTAGCAGATATGTACAATTTATATTCTTGCCTATTCTCCGTTAATAAGGAGTAGCATTGGAAGTGATAAAGATTATGATGCAGTTGTGTTCAACGTGTGCTATGGAATACATACTGTTCAAGTAGGTACCGAGGAACATACATAGTAATGTCAGATGACCAGATAATGACTAGAAGTTAGTTGCATCTTTTTAATTTTTTTCATTTGTAAAAGTCTTGTTGTGATATGAACCAGTAAGACTTCAACGGAAATAGAGATGCGTTTTAATGATGGACAATTTGCATGCGTTGGGTGAGCTTGCAGTAATATTTGGATTCTAGTGGTCAAAAGAGTCTCAACATCGACATGAAAAATAAATTAAAGTTTGGATTTAATTTGAGCACCCTCAGATAAATTGATGGAAAAATGAGAAACGGTAAGCAAAGGGGTTAGTGTCAGTGCTGCTACGTGAGATAGTATTAACCTTGGTTTCGCTTAATGCAGATAGGAAAGATAAATAACACCATAATTCGGTGCACAAATGTGAAGTATGCAGGTGCTGCAGGTACCATTGATGGACGTATCTTGAAGACTTACCATTTCTGAAAAGGCTCGCTGAGCCTGCTAGAGCAGGGAATTACAGCTGGAGCAGGTTGGGGCAGGAGCAGGTAAAGAAAGGACAGGGTGGTGAAGGAAAAAGGGGAGAATAAGAAAAGCTGGCAAATGTGGAGTAGTTAGGAGAGAAAACTGAGTAACTCTGCACACATTTTCATCTCTGTCTTCAAGTTATTCTGTGGTTAACATTGCTCTTGAAGAGACTGCAAGACATGTAGGAGCTTTTTAGTTGTTTTTCACCTGTCTGGTCACTCATGTGTTGTAGCTCTCAAAGGCTCAAGTTAGGTTTAGCCCTTGTTGTGTTAAGTGCCAAGGGGATTAAAAAAAAGGACTTGTGCTCTATTTCAGCACTGGATTTAGCCCCACCAATCTTTTACTGCACGTCAGTTGATCCATTATAGCTGTCCGTGTGTGCGAGCTTTGCCTGAAGCAAATTCAAAGTAATTTCAGTCATCTTAGTTTTCAATGAAGCAGGGCAAAACAACTCAAATTATCCTGCCTTTGCCACGGGCTACGAGCATGCACATCGACAGCTATGATGGATCAGCTACCATGAAGGAAAATATTGGTGTCGCTAAGCCTAGCAAATCTAAGCACTTAACTCAATTGGAGTCTAGTTAAAGCAGCATGCTGCGGGGAATCTGTATGCGTTTATATTGGCGTGGGAGTGTTTGTGCTGCCACAGCTACTTCCGTAGGTAGGGATGTAAATGCTTCAGCATAAAGCGTCTTTGTTCAGGTTATAGCCAGATTTGCATTCAAATTCTTATCAATAGAGCATATTGGTTTAAAAAATTAAAAGTGTAACCTACTGAACTTTCTAGTATAGCTTATGCCTCAGGTATGTTTGTTACGTTAAAATAGGCTGAAATTACAGTTTTGAGGAGCTGTGACATTTTGTCTTCTAGCAATTCAATTATGAGCTGCCAGACTTAATTACCTTAGAGTTGTTATCCTATGTGATTTTTAAAGTAGAAGTTGAGAAGTATGCTCTCTAATGGAAAGCACAATTTTTATTCTACAAGTTGTTCACAGTGAAGACTCCCTTGAAGAAGTTTTAAGTGTGAGGTAAGGCTTATTA